TAGGCCCCTCTTCCTCCCTTTGCCCACTAAGGATGGACAGTCTTCCAATGCTGTATCCCCAATAATAACTCTTCTGCAGTCAGTGCTCCCATCCTTTCCCATGTGGCTTCAGCTATTACTGCTTCTCTGCTGATGATGCTGGTATCTCTTTACCTCTGTCCTGGATAGCTCTTCCAAGGTCCAGCCCCAGGTCTCCAACTAACTTTTGGATATCTGCAGCTAGATGGTCAACTAGTATCTCACACTCAATATGGAGAACAGATTTTTTTTCTTTTCTTTTCTTTTTTTCTTAGGCAATTGGTGTTAAGTGAGTTGCCCAGGGTCACACAGCTAGTAAGCATCAAGTGTTTGGTCTGAGTCCGGATTTGAACTCAGGTCCTCCTGACTTCAGGGCGGGTGCTCTATCCACTGCACCACCTAGCTGCCCCCAGATTTTTTTTCCCTAAGACAATATGTCTATGATTTATTATCATCCCCCTCAAAACCAAAACAATTCTACCAGACTCAGTGGCAAACTGAGGCACAGAATCTGGGGGTCATCCCTGATGCTTGTTCTCCACTCCAATATTCAATTGGCAATAATAACAGTAGCGTTTATATGAAAACTTTAAGGTTTGCAAAGTGATTTACATGGATTTGATTTTCACAACAATTCTGTGAGGTAGGTGCTGTTATTATCCCCATTTTCAGATGAGGAAACTGAGGCTGAGGGAGGTTAAGTGAAGTAGCTGAGGTACAATTTGAACTCAGATCTTCCAGATTTCAAGTCCAACACTACCCACCCTGCTAGCTGGCCACCTAGATGTCAATGTAGAATCCTGCCTGGCTTGGAGGCAAGATGTACAATCAGTCAGTCAACCAGCATTTATTAAGTGCCTACTATGTGGTAAGGACTGGAATGCAGGTGATTAGGGCCAGAGCCTTTGGACAAGGAGCCTCCTCATGGGGATAGAAGCAGGACCAGAACTAGGATGGAAGCAAGTAGGAACCAAAGGCCAAGACCCTAAATCCAAGTGGTTGAGAAAGAAGCAGGAAACCTATTGCAAGAGCAACAGAAGCCAGGTGGTGCTGTGGATCCAATTACCAGGCCTGGAATCAGGAAGACCCAAGTTCAAATTTGACCTCTAACACCTACTGGCTGTGTAACCCCAAGCAAGTCACTTGACCACTGCTTGCCTCAGTTTCCCCATCTGTAAAATGGGAATAATAATAGCACCTACCTTCCAGGGTTTTGTGAAAGTCAAAATGAGATAATATTTGTCAAGTGCCTAGCAGTGTCTGGTACATAGTAGGCACTGTACAAATGTTAGCTATTATTAAGAGCAGGGATTCATGCTAAGAAGTAAGTGTTGGGGTGCTGATTGTTTGATTTAGCTTGTCTCCCCAAAGCCTACACCTCTGATTGTGATTGTGGGCATCCACCTTGTGCTGACAGTCTTGGCATGAATCTAATGTATCCCTTCTTGACTCAGCCATACCAGGAAAGCAGTGGGCTCGGGCCACCATCGCCTGTCTATTCTACATTCTCAAAGTTTTTAATGTTTATCCCCTTCCTATCATTTCCACTGCTATCCCCCTGTCCTTTGCTCACTTCTCACCTGGACTCCTAACCGATCTCCCTGCCTCCAATCTCTCCTTTGTCCAATATCCTCCAATGGCATTTCCTTACTGAATGACTTAATGCTTAAATTACTCTTTCAGGTGTGTAAATTTGATCCTATCACTCCTTAGGTCAAAAATCTTGAATGATTCCTGTTGCTTACTGAAAAAAAGTAATTTTTAATTGCATCATTCAAGGCTGTCCAGTCTGGTTCCAATCTATCTTTCCAGCTCAGTCTCCTACTCCTCTCCAACACATACTCTATGCACCGGCTAAACTTGTCTTAATCATCCTTGCTACCCTTGACCCATGCTATCTCTGCCTGTTAAAATTCTGCATATCTAAGGCCTAATTCCAATGCCACCTCCTCCATGAAGTCTTCCCTAATTGCCCCTACATCTGGCTCCCAGCCAGGAGTAACCTCTCTCTCTCTCTGAAATTTCTAATACTTTTTATACCGATCAATGCCATCCTGCTTTGTATTGTGGTTATGACTGTGCGTGTCTATTCTTCTCAGCTAGGTTGTACACCCCCTTGAGAGCAGGGATTGTATCTTATTCATCTTCGGTGGGTGGTACCGCCCTCCCAAGCCTCGCACACAGTAGGTACTCAGTAAATAATTCTTCCTCCACTCTCCTCTTAATGTAGCCTAAGATCAAACTAGGCTTTTTATTTCCCATTGCTGTTGCACACCGCGGGTCCCCCTGTCCCTCTCCCCAAGCCCAGGGCCCCTAATCATTGCTAAGGCAGATGGGCAAGACCTTGCAAGGAGATATTTCATAATACCACCACAAGAGCCCTGGGTTGGAATCCTGGCTCTGCTCCCCGCTGCCTAGGTGACCTTGGGCAAGTAATTCCTTATCTCTGGGCTTCGTTTTCTTTGCCTGCTAAATGAGGGGATTGGCCGACATCCTCCCCTAGGCTCTTTCCAGCTCGAATGTTCTGTGATCCTAGGAGGGCCCGGTTATAAATGAGCCAAGAACAAGGCTCTTGCCCGGAATGCCCTAGAGGCAAAACCTCAAAGGTAATTCAATACCTCTCCTCCCCACCTTCGCATGTTCCCCCATCAGCTAGCGAAAAGAACGTCCCGAGCAGGCAGGGGCCACACGGTTTTGCTAAAGGGGACGTGGGGCAAGGCGGGGGAAGCGAGAAGCCGAAACATAGATGGCCTCTGAAAGGATTTCTCCGAGGCCCCTTCCTGCACAGCCCTCCCGTCTCCCCGCTCCCTTCCACGGCTTCATGCGAAGCCTGGGACGGACCCAGCCGCAGGAGCTCGCAAAGGCCAGTAGGTGGGGCGATTGTCGCATCTCTGTCCTGCGGGGTGGGACCGACCTAGGGGTACCAGTGCAAGGGGTCTGACTTCCCAGCTGTTACACTGCCCAGCCCCCCCTGCCCCCCAGCATTCAGCCTCCAACAGACACAAACCTCCCCCTCCCCCCAATCCTACATCGGGGTGGGAGTTGGACAGGTTCCCAGTACTCCAGGCATTTTGCTGTTCTGGAATTATTTCAATCCTGTCCGACTCTTCCTGACCCCATTTGGGGTTTTTTTTGGCAAAGATACTGGATTGGTTTGCCGTTTCCTTCTCCAGCTCATTTTACAGATGAGGAAACTGAGGCAAACAGGGTTAAGTGATTTGCCCAGGGTCACACAGCTAGTGTCTGAGGCCACATTTGAACTCAGGTCTTCCTGCCCCCAGGGCTAGTGCTCTATCCACTTTGCCACCTTGCTGTCGCTAGGGTCTTGCTACCAGCAATCAATTACTCAACAAGCATTTATTAAGCACTTACTATGTGCATGGTACCGGGCTAGGTGCTGGAAATACAAAGACAAAAATCAAACACAACACCCATATTCCCCCTCCCCTGTATTTTCAGGGGAGCTGCCTCAGTCTGTTCCACAATAACTCAGCCCCACCCCTCCCCAACCTTCACAGATCCAGCTAGTTACCAAAAACCATCATCCCTTTCCTGCCCCGACACAGTGACAAACAAGACTCCTGTTTTTGGATTTTTCCAGCCTCAATTCCCTTTCCTCCCCTAGAGCCTCATGGAACATGGGGTCTGAATATGAGGCCAGAAAAAACCCAAGGGTAAAGGGATTGGGAGGGGCGTGGACTAGGAAGCTGTTGGAGGGGAAGGCCTGGTCTAGGCCAGATAAGGATGCTAGGATCAGACCTTCTTTTGGCCCTGGTAGCTTCTGACCCCATTTACATGCCCTGCAAGTTTCCTGGAGTCACTGAGCTGTGCAGACATGACTGGCATTATGCCCTCTTGGCTTCCTAAGGCCAGAAAGGACTAAGGAAAATCTGGGGGTGGGGAAGGGGGTGTATGAGATTTCATTTACACTTATTCTCCTAAAGTGGTGGGTGAAAGACAATGTCTTAGCAGGTGGTAGGGTATCTAGAGAGTGAGCTCCCCAAATATTGCTGTTATCTGGTCCCTGAGACTTGGGCTTCAGGTCCTGGAAGAAAAGCAGAGAACCAGGGATGGTAATAACATTTCACATTTCTTTAGTGCCTCTGGTTTATAAAAAGCATGTTCTCTACCACCACCCTGAGGTAAGTAGTAGTTATTTTAAATTTTCCCATTTTACAGATGGTAGAAAAGGGATAAGACCTCCCCTGCCCTTGTATTTTTATTCAGACACCAAAAGGTTTCTTCATTTAGGGAGGCGTACAGAAACTAGACCCAGAGCTCACAGAATAGACCTCTGTAATGGGCTAGCCCTCATGAAATTCCCACACCCCTCCAAAATTCTGATTGTATTGGCCATCCTTGTATTCAGAAACCATTATTCTGCCAAGGTCGATAGCATCTAGCTTTAACATTGGGTCTTTCCATTTTTCCTTCCTCCAAGGTCCCTTCCTGCACAGCCCTCCCCCGTCTCCCTGCTCCCTTCCATGGCTTCATGCGACGCCTGGGACAGGACCCAGCCGCAGGAGCTCGCAAAGGCCAGTAGGTGGCCTTTCCTTCAACACAACTCCTCCCCTCTCCACCGAAGGTTTTTCAGGGCCTAGTCAGTAGGAGCAGCACCTCCCTCCAGCTTGGCACTATACCCCCTAAAGAAATAACCCTCTTAAAGACACCCCTTGGAGTTATTTTTTTTCTTCAAGGTTGACAAATGGAAGGAGCAGAGACTCCTTGGCCTTTGGGTCCATTGAGCCAGCATACTCTAGAAACAACCCTCCCCAGACAGAGGTCCCCACTTCCAGTGGCCAGGTAGGCAGGGTCATTATCTCAGGTATGATTTTTGCTTGTCTTCCTCTATTGGAATGTGGGTTCTTTGAAGGCAGGGGTCATGTTTTTTGCCTTTTTTTTAATGTCCAGGTGCTTAGTTCCTCAAACAAGGTAAATAAGTGCTTAATAAATGTTTACTGAATTAAGAGCCCAGACCGGAGCAATAGAAACATACCCGTTTTACTATCACTTTAATTACAGTATTTACAAACATTTTTTCAAGGTGGAAAAAAACCCAAAAACTACAACCCTCTTCCCTGCCTCTGGAAAGTGATGCTTCAAAGGGCTGTTGAACCTAGGGACTCCTGCTTCCTCACTCCCCAGAACTATTCTATCCTTTTCTCCCAAGAGGCTGATTCTCGGTGGTGAGCAAAGAGTTGTTGGGTGTGAAAGGGATGTGGAGGCATGGGGAACTGGGGGAGTGAGGTTCATAAGGGGATGGCACCAGTAGAAACTATTGAGAGCCACAGATAAGGACCTTGGCTGAGACGGAGGGGCTAGGTGTTAGAAATCAGAGGTCAAAGCTGCGACAGCCAGAAATAATGTCATTTTGCCTTTCCAAGGCTCTTGTTTGGGCACTTTCTTAGGGAAGCCAGAGGCAACAGGAGCTGCTAACAGGTGGGACCCCTCGACCCAGCTTCCTGTGTCCAAGAAGAGGTTTGCAGTCTCTACTCCCCCCACCACTTTCCCCAGAGGAGGCCAAGATTGAGCACAATTTGCTATCACTGATATGTCCCCACATACCAGTATATATACCTACAAATGCATGAGCACAGACCAAAAAAATTTAAGAATCTGGTTGGTTCTAATCTCCATCTCCCAGAGAGCTGCCCATGGATATATTCACTTACAAGAGAAATGGTTAGGCTGTATTGGGCTTAAGAGGGAAGGCAAGGACAGCCAATTCTGTTCTGTAGGAGGACAGAGGGAAACATTTGGGGAAAAACAAGTTGTTTAGTCTTGAATATATAGGCAGGAAGGACAGAAAGTGGTTAATGTGGCTTCCTTACAAGAAAGGAAGAAAATGGAAGGGAAAGTCCTGGATAATGGGCATCCTTCACAGAAGCATTGGCAGCCCCAACTTTTCCTCTCTTCCTAGGAATTGGAAATAGAAGAGTGGGGCCGCAGGGGGGGAGGTAGAAGTGGGGAGAGAGACCAGTGTGGCAGAGATACTAACTCTCTGATCTAGCAGGGAGAGAGGTTCATCTGGAGCTTGGCTCATGCCCCAGGCGCCCAGTCCCTATTTATAGAGTCCTATATATGGGCTCTGGAGCCTTGGTTCTTTCTTGTCACACCCTGGCCCTGAATAGACCAAGGTAAGAGTTAGGGTCCCCAGCAGGCACGCTGAACAGAGCATTAAAGAGGCACCACTGACCTGGGCATCCGGTAATAAGAGAAATTCCTCCCCTAGCCCAAGCTATGGAACACAAAAAGCTGTGTGAAGTGAGAGAGAGAGAGAGAGAGAGAGAGAGAGAGAGAGAGAGAGAGAGAGAGAGAGAATGATAAAGGGTAAGAACAATTTGGGAACTGGGGTGCTACATGGACAGTAGGGAGGGAAAGGTGGGGAGGAGCCATAGAGCTCTCTAGGGGGAAGGTCTTTCTCCTGGCCCCACCAGCTCCAAGCCCTTCCTTGTCCCATCACAGTTCTGTATCAGCCACCACTTGCTGTCTTGACGAGTGGCCATTGCTGGATGTGGCCTGGCTGGTCCCATTCTCTTGGGCCCCTCGGTTCTGACTGGCCTTTTCCTGTGAATCAGGGCCGGCCCCAGGGCCTGCACCATAGCCCTGGCCTCCACCATTCTCCGTGTAATAGGGGTCTTCTCCCTAGACAGTATATAAATAAAGGGAGCATTACTGAAACAGGAAAGCATGGGATCAATTGGTGTGGGTCCCAAAGAGACGGGGAAACAAGAAGGAGGGAAGGAGGAGCGGAGTGACATCTGTATTTGAAGACTCCATTCTTCCTGAAGAACAGGTCAGGGCTCCAGCTCCTGGGGACAGAGGAGAGAGGCACCAAAATATGTCACTGATGGCAAGAGGCTGGCCTGCGAGGGAGACCTGGATGGTCCCCCCGGCCAGAGCACATTCCCAGGGCAGGCGAGGCATATCAGGATGCTAGGCCAGGAAACAGAGTTTCCCAAGATATCTGCCCACAACTTTCCCTCGTCTCCTAGCCCCAACCTCTTTCTGAACAAAGTTCAGATGGGCTGGTGATTGCTACATCCACCACCCACCTATGGGGCAAAGGAAGGGTCCTGGAGGTATCTCCCAGCATCTAACAGCTTTGTAAGTCTGGATAATCTGAAAGACTCCTATTCTCTCCACCACACCCTCCCCAACTCTGTAGCTTTCCCCATATGCAGCAATGAGTGCATGACCTTAGCGTTCCTTTCTATGTACTAAACACAGAGGTTCTCCCTCACAAACTGGACTCCAGTGAGCAAAGGACCCTCCCTCTCCCATAACCCAGCACCTTGTGGTAAAGCTGGATGAATATGGAAAAAGGGAGTCAGGGAAGGCTTGTTATTTCCAGTGGGGAAGGGGATGCTTTCTTCATATCTCTCCCATTTTCCCCACAGAGGTCTCAGTTTCTCTCACCCTTACAATGAGAGGGTTAGACTCTGTGAACTTCAAAGGTCTCTTCCAACTCTGACACTATAGCTATGACATTGTGATCATGCTATGACTGCCCTGCAAAACCTCTGGCTCCTCTCTTAACGGACCCTGGTGTCCCCACCAGCCCCCAGAACTGACCAGTCTCTCTCCTGCAGGGCTCCAGCTCCGACGGTTCATGAGGAAGTAGCCAGCCGTGCCCAGAGCTGCCAGCAAGAGACCTGAGGTGACCAGGGCAATCAGTGTTTTTCGGGAATAGCTTTGGTGACTCCGGATGTCCTGCTCCTGGAAGTCCTGGATCCCTAACTAGGAACAATGTGGACATAGACAAAGGCCTGTCACTCATGGGAAGCCAGTCATGGGAAGGAAGGATAGGATAAGGCTAAGGACTGGAGGAGAAACCAAGCCCTCCTGGTTCCCATGTGTTTGGGGCCAAGTCAAGGTTGTGTCTTTTTGTTTGTTTGTTTGTTTTGTTTTGTTTTTGAGAGGCAATTGGGGTTAAGTGACTTGCCCAGGGCCACACAGCTAGTGTCAAGCCAAGTCAAGGTTGTGAACCATGGGTGGTTACATATGTATGGTGGAAGCTGACCCTAGGGGTTGTGTGTGGTGAGGTAAAGAGAAGGACTTCTTACAGGTCATAACATTCAGCTAAAAAGCAACTTGAAGTGCTCTTCTGGGTATGTGTTTTTATATAGGTGAGTATGGGTGGGCGAGTGTGAGCGTGAGAGAGTGTGTGAGTGTGCACATGTGTATGTGAGTGTGAGAGTGCGTAGGTATGCATGTGTGTGTGAGTGCATGAATGTGTGTGTTGTGTGTGTGTGTCTGTGTGCTCGCTTGGGAATAAAAAAAGCAGATCCAGGGGTAAAGCAGGATACGTGCCAGGGACAAAGGGTGAATGCATCAAGAATATGAGTGCTCCCACTTACTACACCAGGAAGATCTGGACTCCAGTGACCTAGGTTCAAATTCCACCTCTGCCGTTTATTAGCTGCGTGACTTTGGCCAAGTGACTAAAAATCTCCCTGGCCTCAGTTTCTTGCTCCACAAAATGGGGTAACTTTGTACTGAGGGGCAGTGTGGTCAAGTGGCTAGGAACCTGGTCTCAAAAGTGAAAGACCTCATCTGAGCACCCTCGGATAAATCCCTTGGATCTCTCCAGCGCCCCCAGACAACTCTTCCAGACCACAAATGTTAGAACCTAGCCAGAGCCCTCTGATGTTACCTCTGAGTTACACGGCATACATAGATCTTGAATCTCCACAGCTGCTAGCGCGCTGTCTCCCATAATCACATGTGAGCCCTTTAAGGGAAAGGGCTTTTGCCCTTCTTGTGTCCTCGGTTCCTAGGCACAATGCCTGCACACAACAGTCGCTTCTCAATGCCCACTGACTGACTCACCGACCTATCTGCGTTGGTAGATTGTTTCCTCAGTAGTTCTCTACCCAGTGAAATGACAGGTCCCGGGCCAGAAAAAAATGCTATATACACCTTCTAGCTCAGCACAGGGAAAAGAACACTGAATTTGATTATAATGACCTGGGAGGGATGGCAGAGTCCAGACTCCTCATTTTTGACATGAAAAAACTGAGGCTCAGTAACGTTAAGTGACTGCTTTTAGTTACCCCACAAAGTAAGCACCAGAGGGAAGACCTATTTTTTTGTTTTGTTTTGTTTTTTTGCTTTCTGGTGAGGCAATCGAGGTTAAGTGACTTGCCCAGGGTCACACAGCCAGTAAGTGCCTGAGGTCAGGTATGGAGTCTTCCTGACTCCCGGCCCAGCATTCTATCTGCTGGACCATCTAGCTGCCCCTTATGGGGTCCTTAGGTGAGCTAATTCACTTCCTGGGAGTCACTTAACTCACCAGTTAAATGAGGACCCAGGATGGCCTACAAGAGCTCTAAGATCCCTTCTGGCTCTCAACCTATCGCCTCCACAATCAACGTACTCCACTGGAGAATGGATGTCAAAGGATTTTATAAGCACATAAAAATGTAAGTTGTTATTATTATTATTTTGAGACTTGCTTATGGCTTCTGGGCTCGCTCCTCCAGATGCCACCTCTCAGTGGCGGCCTCTAACTCCTCCCTTAGCAGGGTAGCTGGGATTTGGCTCAGATTCAGAGGGGTACTGGGACCTTTGATGAAAATAATTCGAGAAGAGAAGAGCAATTAGGGTTTCCCTGACTGGGGAAAGGGCAGGGGAAAGTGGAGAGAAGGGGCCGGAGAAGCCATTTGCTTCAACCAACAATAGCCGGAGCCCCAGGACTCAAAGATCACCTCAAAGGCCTTACCTTTTCCAGGTTAGACTTGTGCTTATTCATGACTTCGAGCATGTGAGAAATATCTGGAATTAGGAACAGAAGTTAGTACCTTTGGGAACGTGGCCCGGCTTACCCTGTTCCACGCCTCCCTGGCCCTACTGTTCCATTTAAAAAGTTTCAAGTCCCAATCTCTCCAGTCTCATTGGAGTCAGACAAAGAGAGCCCCTCTCATAAGCACTGGGAAGCCATATGGTCCAAAGCCCACCCCCAGGGCCGTCCCTTGTCTCCCATACCTCCCAGCTGTCTGAGCCCCAAACAGGCCCATCACTCACCACCTTTTGAATCCAGAACCAAGAACAGGCAGCTCGGATTTACTTCAGATTGAGCCAAGATTAGGGAGCAGTCCTGGGTCCCAGCTTCTGCCTCAGACACCTTAGGCTCACAAACCACCTTAGTTAGGTTGTCTCCCTGGGCCTTTTTAAAATCCTCCTGGACAATGAGACATCATGAGGACAATAGAATAACCAAAAAGAACACTTGAATGAGGTCAGACTAAAAGAAATGACAATGACCAAAATGTTGGTCACTGAAAAGAGATAACAAAACATGCCTCCCTCTTCCAGGTGGCAAGTATGCGTGCAAGAGTGTGTGTGTGTCTGTCTGTCTGGAGGCAGAAGGTAACACATTATCAGACAAGGTCACTGTATTGGTTGTTCTGGATGAACTACTTGAGGGAGGTGATCAAAAAGTGACTATTTATAAAAACAATGCACTCATAAAACATTTTTGATGTCCTCCTGGCAAAGCATAAGAAAAACAATTTATATGATGTACGTGTGTGTGTGTGTGTGTGTGTGTGTGTGTGTGTGTACTAGGAGTAGGATCAAGGAATCAGTCTAATTTGGTGCACAACATAGCATCCCACATAAGCTGCACCCCTATTCTCAAGCACCCACTTCAGTTAAAGCCACAATATTATCCTTTCTACAAAGGGAAATGATTCTTTGTACTAAAATTCCAGTTTGTGAGGAGGGCTGTGACTCACAGATGAGAAAACACAATCCAATGACTTTGTGTTCTGGGGTGAGGTGCTGAGTTACCAGACACCAGAACCTTGCCATCAGAAGGTCAGCAAGGGTAGCAATGGACAACAATGAAACCCTGTCCTCAGGAGATCACCCATGTGCACAGGTAAGGGACCTTAATGCTGTTGTAATGTCTTGGCACTCTTAATACACTGTCATAATTCTCTAGCACCTCAATGCTATACAGCACTTTCCAAAAAGAAATGATTGACTGTAACGTTGCAGTAATTACAAGGTTGGGGACAAAGGACATAGGGCACCAGGGGGAAGAAAAAGGACTCAACTATTCAACAGTATTTCTGAAAGGCTACTTATGCCTGGACACTGTACTCAGCACTGAGGAAACAAAGGCAGAAATTGTGACAGTTCCTGCCCTCAAGGAGATTATAATCTACCAAGAGAAAATAGCTACAGATAGAATCAGAGATGCAGAGCAAGAAGGAATCATAGATCTAGAACTGAAAGAAATCTCAATGGTTAAACCCTATTTTACAGAAAAGGAAACCGAGGTGCAGTAAATTAAGTGACACGCCCAAGATCACACAGGTAACAAACATCGGAGGGAGGATTTGAAGCCAGGCCTTCCTTGACTCCAGTCAAGGAAGGCCAGTGCCCCATCTGCCGGACATCCTACCTCTTGGGTTGCTCTTTCCATAAGGTTCCCTCTCTGGTATTACTTGGGGAAATGGGCTTGGGTGAAGAACTGGCCATCGACTCTCCAAGAACCACCATTTGAGGAAGTATCCCTCCAGGCTAGCTGTGCTCACATCAGACCACTCAGTTCATGAACCATCCCCACTGCTTTTCCACTTTGCCCCCATGGCCTAGTGGCTTCACCCTACACTTCCACTGTGAAGTGACCTTCTATGTGTGGTTTTTCTCCATTAGAACTTACATTCCTTGAAGGCAGGAACTATCTTTCTGTGTGTGTATATGTATATGTATATGTATATGTATACATATATGTATATGTGTATGTATATGTATATGTGTGTGTCTGTATATACACATACATAGGCATGTATATGTTTATATATAAATGTACCCAATGCTTAGCACAGTGCCATAGTAAGTGCTTAATAAATGCTCTATCCATCCATCCATGTCTGCATCTATCTACCCACGTATCTATGTATGTATCTAACCATCCATCCATTTACCTATTCAACCACGTATCTACTTATCTATCCATCCATGTATGTATCCATGTATGTATTTCTCTATCCATCCATGTATGTATATATGTATCCATCCATCCATTTGTCCATCCATCCACATATCTATCTTTCTTATCTGTCTGTCTATCCATCTATCCTTGTATCTATTTATCCATCCACATATGTCTGTCTATCCATCCATCTACGAATCCAACCAGCCTTGTATCTATTTATCTATCCATCCACATATCTGTCTATCCATCCATGTATGTATCCATCCAGCCTTGTATCTATCT